GTTTTGAGAAATGATGTACAAATACGCTTTACACAATTGATGTGTGTATGGATTGGGATAACAGTTGTATGAGCCCCTAATAAAATGTTTAAAAAAAAAGAATAAAAATATTATGGAGATACTTAACAAAAGACTTTCAGGACCTACACACTAACAATGACTAAATATTGCTGAGATAAATTAGGAAAGACACAAGTAAACAGATAACACTGTTCTCACAGATTGGTAGACTGAATATTTTCACATGGATTTTCATTCATCAAATTTTTCTATAGATCAAACAGATGGCATGTGAAGATCCTAGATGTTTTGCTCAACTTGATGATTGGATCCTATTATTTATATGAGCATCTAGGATTTAGGAGAACCCAACAACTTTGAAACAGAACAAAATCGGAGGATTTGTACTACCAGATGACAATTTACAGCCGTGACAATCAACACATCTGCGCATCCTCTCCCATGAAAGACCTGCTCATGCGTTTTGTCCATTCCTCATTGGATTGTTAGTTTTTGCTGTTGAGTTTTGAGAGCTCTTTATATTTCTGAGACATAAGTTACTTGTCAAATATGTGGTTTGAAAGTGTTTTTATCATGTTTGTATCTTATATTTCCACCATCTGTAGAGGGTCTTTCACAAGGCAAATATTTAAAATGTTAATGAAGTCTGATTAATCCACTTTTCTTTTTATGAATTGTTTTTGAGATTGTCTATAAACTCTTTACCTAGCCTTAGTTCCTTATAATTTAATCTATGGTTCTGCTCCCTCTAAAATCTTTATAATTTTACATATAAGCCTATTATCTGTTTTGAGTTAATTTTTGAATAAAATGTGAGGTTTACCTTCATTAGTTTTTTTTAAAAAGTCTACCCCTCTGGCTACAATACCACATCAAAATTGCTTGTGAAGTGCAGAGCCGAACTAAATCCAGCTACACATCTTTACAATGTCTTTTGTTGCTGCTGTGACTATGCACAGCAGGGCACACAACTCCACCTTTTCTACCTGTGCCATTCAGTACCCTGATCACCTTTCTCAGACTGTGTAACGGTTCTCACCCTCCTTTCTGACTTCTTCTTCCCTCTCTACCTTAAACATGCCCCTTCAACTTACAAAGGATAATTTCCATATAACACAAAGTTGAGTTTCTTTTCTCCCGCCCCACTTTTTAAAAAATTGGAGGAGAAATCAGCCATGAATCATCTTATTTTCCTCCACAATTAGTTGTTTGTCCTCGACTGTGCTTAAGGTAGTCCCTTTGGCTTTCCACAGTGGGGCTATAAGATGACTAGGAGTTCTTTTCTCTGAACGTGTCCTGTTGGGGATTTATTGAGTTTCACAGAGCTATAATGTTTTAAAAATTATATTTGGGCAGCCACCAGGCACCCTATCTTAAAATAGTATTTCTTTTTCTAGTACTACCGTATTTCCCCGAAAGTGAGACATTCCTTGAAAATAAGATCTACTTACAGTTTTGCCTCTCATTGAAATATAAGGCATCCCCCAAAAATAAGACCTCCCTGAATATAAGGCCTCCCCGATAATAAGCCCCCCCCAAAGCTACCGTAACGCTGCGTACCCGGAGCAGACAGGAAGTGCGAGTAAATGTACCATAGATTATGAGTAAACGTACCATTGATTGTTATACATGAAAATAATGGTAGTAACAAGAAATTCTTGATACTGTAGGATTCACAGTTGGTCTGGTTATGTTGGCTTGTGATGACAACTACTACCGTACTGTATACAGGTCATCAATTTCCCTTTTTCTTGTTCACCAATAAGTGTGTACTGTATTCTTCTTCATGGGAAATAAGATATCCCCTGAAAATAAGACCTAGCGCATCTTTGGGAGCAAAAATTAATATAAGACGCTGTCTTATTTTCGGGGAAACAGGGTAGTACTGTATGCAGGGGCTTCAAAAAAGTTCATGGAAAAATTCCCTTGTTTTTTAATTATTTTTTCCCCACTTAGCTTGGAAGCCCCCAACATAAACTGGTATGACCTAGGCTATCTCACAAGACCCTGAACCTTAGTTTATTTTACTTCAGTCTTCTCTCTCGTTTGCAGTGGATAATGTTGATTCATGCATCTTGAAGTTTTTTGTTGTTTTAATGCCATTCCTACTAGGTTGTTGAGCCCATCTACTGCACTTTTCATTTTTATTACTATATTCTTCAACAGAATTTCTATTTGGCTCTCTTTATAATTTTTCTGTCTCTAATGAGATGCATTATGTACTGAATCACTATTAACTTATTTCTCTTAAATAATTTGAACGTACGCTTTTTAAATTCTTTGAATGTATTCATAATAACTACCTTTTTGGCTTCTACACATGTTTGTTTCTTTTCCATGGGTTATACATTCCTGTCTTTTTGTTTGCCTCATAAATTTGGACTGTGTATTTTATTCTTCTGAGGGTTGTTGGATTTTCTTAGGGGAACTGGCCTGGTCCTAACATGCAGAGCCTACAGGGAACATCACTGTTGGCTCTGTGCTTGGCTTTGCAATATCTATTTGTACTTTTAGCCTGGGCTCTTAGGGGTAACCCCTGTCTGCATAGCTTCATGGTATCAATGATTTGGACAGAGATTATTTCCAAATGGCTCAAGCTCATAAGGCTTCCATTCTCTCCGGATCAATTTGAGTGTGATGAATAATTTAAAACGGAAAGAAGCTCTCAGGTCTTCTTTGGCTTTTCTATTTCATTGAGCTCCCTCTGCTATCCCTCCATGCATGCATGGGGTCTGGAGAACTTAGCTCAGTCCTTTATGAATCTCTGGTTTTCAGGATCTCCCCACGAAGTTTCTAGTTGGTCTGCTTGCCCCAAACTGAGACTGCATCTTTAGGCTAACAAAACCACAATCTTCTGTGTTCATTTTCAGGCAAGTTCATCAAATTTCCTACCCTATATAAGATCTTCTCCCTGTCAACTCCTGGCTTGGGAGACCAGCCCCACTAGAAAACTAAGCCCCATTCTTGTTGACTAAGCTGTGGAAGGGGGTGAAGAAATAACTCACTCCTGCTGCTCTTACCCAAGTTGGTACAACTTAGTGTTTGTGTCTACTACACTTCTTGTACCCCCAAATAGATATTTTTGACAAATTTGTCTAGTTTTATACATTTTTTTTGGTGGAGAATAATTGTTTACCTCTTCATTCTGCCATCACCAGAAGTTAACTTGGTAATTTAGTTTTAATATACAGTGAACCCTCGCCACTTCATGCTTCGACTTCCGTGGCTTCACTCTATCGCGGTTTTTGCGTAACAGCGCATGCTCTGTCATTACTGCCACTGATTGGCTCATACTGTACACGCTTGATACCATAAATAATATAATAAATAATAAATGATAATTGTAACGTCCAAAATGTTTTACTGTATTTTCCCTTTTTCGTTTAATAAATTGGGTAATACGAGTGTAATGGTGACGAAAGGGTGTTTTTTCATGTCCTCTATGCTCTAACTATGAAAATATTTGATTTACAAATAAGGAATCCTACTTCGCGGAATTTCATTTATCACGGTAGGGTCTAGAACCAATTAACTGCGATAAAAGAGGGTTCACTGTAATGGCTTTAAGCTTTATAAAATAAATAATCAAAAGATAATTCTTACATGAGAAGGAGTACATTTGGGCATGTTATCAAGAGTCCGGTCCCTGGAGAAGGTTATCATGCTTGGTCCAGTAGAAGGGCAGCAACAAAGAGGAAGACCCTCAACAGGGTGGACTGACACAGTGACTGCAGCAGTGGACTCGAACATAAGACTGATTGTGAGGGTGCTGCATGGTGGGGCAGTGTTATGTTGCACTTGGGGTCACTATGAGTTGGAACAGACTCAATGGCACCTAACAACAATGCTTACACTTTCTCTAAAACTTCTCTTGGTGGTTTCTTCAGCTGCATATGCCTTCCAACAGCCACACTCATTGCCATCGTGTCAATTCTACCACATAGGGACCATGAAGGACAGGGTAGACCTGCTCCTCTGCGTTTCCAAGACTGTAAATCTTGATGGGATTTACTCTTCTGTGGAATGACTGGTGGTTTTGAACTGCTGACCTTGTGGTTAGTAGCCCATTCACAACCCATTATGCCACTAGGGCTCCAAGGGCAAATGGTGTATATTCCTTTTTAAAGGTAGACAAGAGATCCTCCTCTCTTGATGACTTACTCAGTTACCTGATAACATAAGGTAAAGCCTTAACTGCTAAGCATACCTGTGGTTACAATTTTGTTCTATGAAACTCATATCACCAAATACCAAGACAGTATACAAATGTTTCAAAACCACACATTTGCTTTACAAACATCAATATGCATGATTTAATTTGGTGAGTCTTTATTGAGAGAGAACCATATGCCAAAGGTGGTGTCAGGCATCAGGAACTGAAAAACAAAAACCCACTTCCCAAGACACAGCTCCTGCCCTCCCCCCCTTCCCAGGTCAGTAGGTGGGAGACATGATCACACAGGCCACTACCACCCAGTGCGATATGTGTTCTACAGGCAAAGTACAAGGTGCTATGATTGTGTTCAGTTCCATTGTTTCCTTCCAAAATTCGTTTTCCTTAAGAATCCTGAGGTTAAAAAGAAATAATCCTGAGGTTTAAAAAATTGTTTTTAATTTTAAAGACCATTAATATCTGGAATGAAGACCTATTTTCTATGACACATCTGGGCGATTAATGTTCAAGGAAGGGTCAGGTCCTCAAGGAAACGCCTCTGGTCCTAACCCTTGAATGCATGTGAAACACCTTAGAGAGTCAAAAAGTATGTATCCTCGCCCAGGTCCCAAAGATTCTTATTCCCTAGTCTTCGGTGACGCCCGAGAATCAGTTTCATCAGGTGATTCTAACCTACAGCCATAGTTGAGAAGAACCGTAGCCCGCACTTCCCGTTTCCTCAACAGTTGACACCAGTAATAAAATGTGCTTCCTTCCTCAATGACTTTAGTTAAGTATTCTTTTTGGAGATTCTGCAGTGGTTCTGCACAATATTTATGGCTTCCCTTTACTGCTCTGGTCTCTGGTAGAGAGAGCCCTTATTCTCAACACCTCAGGTTTCCAGAATTTGGGACATTCATTGCTCGCCCATCACCTTTGGGGCTGGAGCGGTTAGACATTCATCTGCTCCCTGCCTCTCATCTTCCCCATCTGTGCTGGAGAAACTCATACGCGTGGTTGGATATTGCCACCCACTGGGCCACATGGCACATAGCAGTAGGTGTTCATTTTGCCTTCAAAACAAGAAGCATGCTCCACATGTCTTCTTTGAGGTTTACCCCAAAGAGGTTGGAGAAATAGCTGATTGATGCTTATTGGGTGATTATGATATGCCAGGTGCGGTGCCAAGTATTTTTGTGTAAATTAATTCATTACATACCCTCATCAATCCCATTAAATACATTGTTTGGTTACACTGTTTCAGAGATGCAGAAGCTAAAGGTTTAGTGAGATTTAGTCATGCTAGAATTTCAATCCATATAATCTAACCTTCCCTCAAAGCTACTCTCTTGATTCATGGTAAATGGGTTCTAGCTTGGGCCATTCACTATTAATTATTCATGTGCCCCTTGGCCTTCTCCATTCTACTGATGACCTAGTCTAGGATTCTCCATACAACAGGCTGCACAGACCTACCGCAAGTCTGCTTTGTAGACACAACTCTACACCCACATTGGTATATAAAGGTCTAGAACTGAGAAGAGGGATGATGGTTCGTAGCAGCAGTTTCCTCACAACATGGGCCAAGTGTTGGTTTCGTTGTTGGTACTTTTGTTCCCTTGTTCTTTTTTTTCTACTTGTTGATCTTTGAATGAAAAGAAATCTAGTCAACCCTGGTGCTGTGTGGATGTAATTCTAAATGGTGATTTGATGTATAATTGTATGACCATACTAAATTTATATCTCCATACAACAGAGAAGGACTTTTCGGTTTCCAATGTGGGTGGCATAATGAGTAGCACTGCTATTCATTCTTTGTCATGCTGATTGATGCATATACTTATACATTTCTGTTGGGTATCAATCTAGGAGACAGATTGATAGGCTCATGTGTGGCCTTCCAGAACCTAGGGCTATGGGCATGGACAGTTTCACCCTTAGTAAATGATGATAAGACACCATGAGTAGCAAAGCAAAATCACTTAAGTAACTCAGTCCCGTTTCTTTCGGTTTGATTCAACAAGCCAGCATATCCTCATGGTTAGCAATATATTGAAATGAGAGACCAGAAAAAAAAATTGAAGGAGAGTGTCTAAGAAACACTGAAAGAAGATGAAGTACCTTCATTTGATTATCACTGAAAATATTTTCAACTTATTGGGTGTTTAAAGAAAACAAATCACTTTCCTCATGAATCACACCTTGACAAGCCTCTGAAGATTGCACATCTTGGAAGAAGCACAAGGTACTGGAAATCTGATGATGACCCATAAAGCATCTCCAAAAAAATCATAATCTGAAAAGAGAACAACATAACTGTGCATGATGATGTTGTTTTTTAAAGGCACCCATTACCAGATCAAGGAATCTGAAACAGGACCGTGAACAATGACAAAACGCCTGGGTCTTGAGTGTCCCAGAGGCCCCTACACACCCCGGCTCTGCCGTGAGTCAAGCATTTATTACCTCTCAGAGCTTCAGATTCCAAATTCTAACACTTTTATAAAATTTTATATTAACCACTTAATAATCAAAATCTTTGTATGTGTACATCATAAAAAGTTAAGCTGCAAAAGAATCTAACCATGAGGAAAATCAGTCTGTCCTTCAACCCCCAGGCTTCCATGTTTAGGAATAATTACTTACCAATCACTTCGTTATGTTTCCAGAAATACTATGTGTTTATTACAGGCAGAATGCATGTGTTTTTTTATATGCATATATATATTTTTATATGCATATATATTTTTTAACTTTTAATTTGAAAATATGACACACATAGACAAATACATTTATACATTTAATACATTAAACAAATAGCCAGCTTAATGATTCACTATAAAGTACTCATCTATGTAAATAACACCCAGGTCAAGAACAGAATATTATCATATTTCATAAGCCGTCACCTGTTTTTCGGTGCCATTGAGTAAATTCTGACTCATGGTGACCATATGTGTGCAGAATAGAAGTGCTTCATTTGATTTCTATGGCCTTGACCTTTTGGAAGAAAACCACCAAGTCTGTCTTCCAATCAGGCTAGCAGCCAAATGTGTAACTGTTTGTGTAGTGGATGGTTTGTGTAGTGGATGGGTTGCATCTATTCCAAATTTGTGTGGAAATGGAGTTCAGGCTTTTTGCTTTGACTTTTGATGGCATTGGAAGTTTATGAAGCAGCTTAATAATACTTGTGATTCAAATAACGTTAATTGTTATTGAAATTACTTTACCACAACATAAGGTCTACATATAAGCCTTGTGACTTTAGATTGAATTCATTAAGAATCATTACTGTAGTGAAATTAACTGCTTCATTTGGTTCTTCTAATCATAGTCTTTGTAACTTTTACCAAGTGACTGGTTGGGATCATGGAAATAGATTGTATGGAATGCCAATATGGAGATTGGTCCCTTTTTTCTATCCTACTTGTTTTAAAATGAGCCGTCTCCAAAGTAGAATTGGGTTCTCTCTGTACCATCAAGAAAGAAGAGCCAGGAGTAGAGCACACCATTTGAAGCCCAAGATCTTTAGGCACTGAACCTCCTTGCTCTAGAAGACAGAATGATTTGACACCAGAGATGGCAGAGGAGGAAGCAGCAGAACTAAGAGCCGGAACAAGGCAGAGCAGTGGGTTTTCTGGCCCATGGAATGAGTACAATTGAGTGCTTTCAGGCAGGAGGCTCACCTCCGGGCACTTGAAAGCAGGGGAGCTAACTTAGCTGACCCACAGCTAGAGGTGAGTGCCTTCAGGTTGTGGTTTACAGTACAGTGGAGTGCCCTTGGGGCATTTATTCACAGTCTAAAGGAGCTTTGTGGCACTACCTGATCAGGACAGAGGCCAAGGGGCTACATAGCTGAGATCCCAAAGACCAGTGATTTGCCTGAGGGGATGGCTGAACAGAGGTGCTCCTGATGAACTGTATCCTGGGCATTTCTGATCTTGAATTGTAACGTGTTGAGTTCCCTAATAAACCCCATACTTGTGATTATTGCTTGTGAGTTCTGTGTGGCCATTGGAATGAATTATAAATTCCATGGGAGAAGAAGAGTGTTGTAGGGAGGGATGGCTGGTGTTAGAATTGGTAAAGAAAATTAGAGGGTGGAGGCAGGTGTGACCTTTGCCTCATAGGAATCAGCCTTTATCCAATGTTGATTTTGATTCTCGTTTCCCTTGAGAAGTCAGATAATGCCCCCATACCATTCATAGAGTTACCAAGCAAAAGCTAATTTCCAACTCCATTAAAATATTCAACAAATAAAATTGTTCTTTAAAAATTCAACAATAGTAGTTGGTGGTCGTTTTCTTATTTAGAAATTTGTCACTCTTGGTCCTGGACTGAAAAAAAAATGCACTAAAACTTTACTACTGATAAGCCATCAAAGTTCAGTGTGGTAGGTCCAGTCTGTATATTCATTTTATGTTTCTGAAAAAAAAATTGTAGAACTAACCTTGACTAAGTCCACAGAAATAGGTTTGCCATTGACACTAGTGGTTCAATGAATAATAGAAAAAATCATTTCTCAACCAAAAATAGGGGCATCTACGAAGCACCTAAAGCTTACATTCTGAGGGAAAATTGACCTTATGCTTGGAATTTCTTGATTCCAATCCATCATGATAGTCCACAGAGACTGTGACAGGCAGGCCTATCAAGTGAATAAGAACACTTGGGATAAGTGTACTCCTGAGTACAACAGCAATATGAGAACGGAAGGACAGCTTTTGTCCAAAAAACAAAGCTCAAGGAGGTAGGAAGAGGTAAGAAAGAAGGACAAATGGGAACGAGAAGCCCAGAAAAATAAAGTGGGAAGAACGTTGCTACATTTAGGAAATTGTAACTAATGTCATGAAACAAAATGTGCACAAATTGTAGAGTTGGAAACGAATTTTCTCTGTTAACTTTCACCAAAACTACAATTAAAAGTGGAAAGTTAAACCAAAAAAAAAAGTCCACTGATTTTTATGTTTCCTCTAGTAAAGTCCCTCTGGACAATCCTGATTCTTAGCTTGTACTCAAAGGAAGAAAATGACCAGCAATAACAGCTCATGTAGAAAGAGCTTGATACTTGCTACAGTTTTTGTTCACATTCTCTTGCTTTCCAGAGTTCTTCGATATCTTTAAATATATGCCATGTAAGATGTATCCATTATTTTCTCTACTACTTGCAGCAAGAGGATGACTTAGAATTTCCTCCTAAATCATAATTAGAATTAGAAATTATTCGTTAATTGTCTATGTCGGGAACCCTGTGGCATTGTGGGTTACCTTTGGGCAGCTAACCACAAGGCCAGCAGTTTGAAAACACCAGCTGCTCCAAGGGGGAAAGACAAGGTTTTCTACTCACATAAAGAGTTACAGTCTTCCAGAACATAGAAAAAGACAGAAAACTCCCAAACCCTTTCTATGACTTTGATACCTAAAGCTGGCATGGATCCCACAAGAATTGGGCACTACAGACAAATATCCATAATGAACATCGATGCAAAAATCCTTAACAAAATATTGGCCAATAGAATACAAAAGCATATAAAACAAATAATTCACCATGACCAAGTGGGATTCATACCAGGGATGCAGGGATGGTTCAACATACAAAAGACCATTAGTATCATTCTCCACATTGACATGAAAAATTATAAAAACCACATGATCATATCAATAGATGTAGAAAAATCATTTGACAACATCCAACACCCATTCCTGTTTAAGACACTCAAGAAGATAGGAATGGAAGGAAAATTCCTCAATATCATACAAGCTATATATGAAAATCCAACAGCCAACGTGGTAGTCAATGGAGAAAACACTAAAAAATTCCCACTGAAAAAGAGGACCAGACAAGGATGTCCCTTGTCCCCACTCTCATTTAACATTGTACTGGAGGTCTTAGCTAACAGCATAAGGCAAAGAAAAGACATCAATGATATTCGTCTGGGAAAGGAAGAAGCAAATTTATTGTTATTCACAGACGATATGATTTTATATATTGAAAATCCCCAAAACTCCACAAGTGGAGTGTTGGAAGTGATAGCGGAATATGACAGAGTAGCAGGATACAAAATCAACAAACAGAAGTCCAGAGAAGAAGAGATTTAAAAGGTAGTAAGTACCCTTTGCAATAGCCAAGCACAAATTGAAATATCTAGGGCCATATCTGACTAAAAAAAACCCAAAAGATTTGTACGAGGAAAACTACAGAACACTATTACGAGAAACCAAGAGTGACCTCAACAAATGGAAGAATATCCCAGGCTCATGGATTGGAAGACTCAATATAGCAAAGATGTCAGTTCTGCCCAAGGCACTATATAAGTTTAATGCTATCCTGATATGAATACCATCATCCTTCTTCAAAGAATTGGAACAACTGATTACCAACTTCATATGGAGAGGGAAGAATCCAGGAATTAGCAAAAAACTCCTCCAGAAGAAGGGCACAGTGGGTAGCACATATTATACAGGCACAGTGGTCAAAACTGTGGTACTGGTATAACGACAGATATTCAGTACAATGGAAAAGAGCTTAAAACCCAGAAATAAAAAATCAGCATACAGACAACTGGTTTTTGATAAGGGTCCCCTAAAAATATCAAATGGGAAGCAGATGCCCTCTTCATTAAGTGATGCTGGAAAAAATGAATATCTACCTACAGAAAAATGAAGCAAGACCCTTACCTCACTCCATGCATAAGAATAAACTCAAGCGGGAACACACATTATGAGGTAAACCCCCAAACTATTAGGGCCATTAATGAGAGAATTGGGACAAACCTGAGAACCTTGGCACAGGGAATACATAGGCTGTTGGAAATAAGAAGGACACGAATACAGAGGAGTCACAAATTAATAAGTGGGATATACTGAAGATAAAACACCTGTGTGTACATTGAAAGAATTCACCAAGACAGTAATAAGAGAGTCCACCGACTGAGAAAACATCTTGAGCAATGACTCATCAAAGGCCTTATTACTAAAGTCTACAATACTTTGAAAGCTTACAATAAGAAAAAAACTAACTGCCCACTAAGGAGGTGGGCAAGGACCTGAAGAGAAGTTTCATAGGGGCAGAAATCTGAATGGCAAATAAACATGTGAGAAAATGTTCCCGATCTTTAGCCATAAGAGAAATGCAAATTAAAACAACTATGAGATACCACCTAATACCCTAAAAGATAGCCCAATTCAAAAAATAAAAAGTAACAAGTGTTGGAGGGTGTGTTAGTCTGGGTACTTTAGAGAAACTAATCCAAAGAAACTCATGTATAAGAAAGAGTTTTATGTAAAGGTTAAGTGCTCATCAAGAAAATATCCCAACCCAGTGCTGCCCAAGCCCACAAATCCAACATTAACCCATTAACCCATATGTCCAATACCAGTACACAAAGTCCTCCTCCAACTCACAAAACAGACACAACGATGCCGACTGCATGAGGAAAGCTGAGTCAGTGAATGTGTAAACATCTCAGCACTGGCAGTGGTCTCCACACGGGTGCTCCAGCACCCAGGGCTGCATCGAGGTAGGTCCATGTGGCTTCTCCTTGGTATGTCTTGCAGGAAGTCAGCCTTGCAAGCTGAAGCAGGGAACTGCTAAAGGAGCTGCACCCTGGTCCAACCATCAGAAAGCAAGAGACCCGGGAACTAGAAAGGTGAGGCTCACTGATCCATTTATCCCTCTGCCCTTCAATTAATCCCACATGTGTTTATCGGCCAGGTTGCCACAATAAACTAACTCAGAGGAGCTGTGGTGAGATAGGAACTCTTGTCCACTGCTGGTGGACCTGTAGGTATGTACAGTCATTATGGAAATCAACTTGGCGATATCTAAAACATGGAAATCAAGCTACCGTATGATCCAGCAATCCCCCTACTGGGCATATACCCAGAAGAGGCAAGAAACAAACCACGGCCAGCCATCTGTGCTCCAATGTTTATTGAGGCACAGTTCACAATTGCAAGAGTTGGAAACAACCCAAATTTCCATCAACCGGTGAATGGATAAAAAAATTGTGGTACATACATACAGTGGAGTACTACGTATCCCTAAAATGCAGCGATGAGTGCATGAAGCACATTGCCCCATGGGAAGAACTGGAGGGAATCATGCTAAGCAAAGTAAGCCAAGCACAAAAGGAAAGTACAACATGAGTCCACTGAGGTAAGCTTAAAAAATGGGGCATAGGGGAAAAACTTCTATATACATACATTCCTGGGATGAGGTCCAGGTACTATGGCAGGGGCCAAACCCAATCCTAGGATATATACTGCACCCAACTAAAGAGGAGGGGGAAAGAAAGATATAGAGAGACAAAAAAATAGACATGGGTAGGGGGTGAGCAGGGCACTAACCCACCCAAGAGGAGGGTAATGCTTATATCTCTACAGGAGAGGGAGAGATAGACTAGGCTTCAACCCAATGTGCAAGATGTGAATACAACATATTGGCATGTACCAGGGAACCAATAGAGAGGTCTACGGAGCCGGCCCCAATCCCACCTATATGGAACACTTCCCCTTCCCCCACCCTCCCCCCAAAAGAATGCAGTTCAGAGAACAGCACTGAAACTACAGCTTGGGGAGAGGGGCTCGTCTGATTAAAACACATAGGAGAAACAAAGAGGGATGGAGAGGGAGGGGAACATACCCTGGCCCACCAAGCCCCAAGGACAATATTCCTGAGCAGACAGTGCACAGAGAGGACCATAGGGCGGCCCCACTATGAGACACAACGTCCCTCACTGAACCATACCACTACGGAGGACAACTCTGGAGACACGGTGCAGGAATTATGCTCAATCTACCCCATCACACTGGGAGAAACACTAAGGGCATGCAACAGAGCAGCAAGGGGAGTAAAGTGATAAAATCCCCAGGGAATACCAAAAATAGACTTTGGAGACAGAATGTGGCACCCCATCTGACTCCACCGGAAAACACTAGTAAAAGGCAACAAACAGACCTTGAAATATTGATAGGCTTTTCCATTTTTGTCAGTGGCTTGCTTTCTTTTTTAAAATAAATCATTTTATTGGGGGCTCTTACAGCTCTGACAACAATCCATACATCAATTGTATCAAGCACATTTGTGCATATGTTGTCAACATAATTTCCAAACATTTTCTTTCTACTTGAGCCCTTTGTATCAGCTCCTCTTTTTTAAAAAAAAAATCATTTTATTGGGGGCTCGTACAATTCTTATCACAATCCATCCATTGTGTCTAGCACACATGTCCATTTATTGCCATCCTAATTCTCAAAATATTTGCTTTCTACTTGAGCCCTTGGTATCAGCTCCTCATTTATCCCCTCCCTCCCCGCCACCCCCCCATGAGCCCTTGATAATTTATAAATTATTATTTTGTCATGTCTTATACTGTCCGATGTCGCCCTTCACCCACTTTTCTGTTGTCCCACCCCCAGGGAGGGGGTTATATGTAGATCCTTGTAATAGGTTCTCCCTTTCTACTCCAACTTGCCCCACCCTCCCGGTATCACCACTCTCACCACTGGATATGGAGAAGAGAGGGAAACAAAAGCAACAATGTACCAGAGTCCCGATCCCTGCCTGTGGAGCTGCAAGGGTTTAGTCCCTGGCCCAGGAGGCAGCGGAGGCAAGCTGTGGCTGTGTTGAGGGAAAGCCCCTGCACAGCCCTCCAAGACTGTGGGGGGATAGAAAGAAGAGATGGAAACAAAAGTAACAATGTAGCTGAACCCCGATCCCTACCGGTGAAGCTGCAAGGGTCCAGTCCCTGCCCCCAGGCAGGCTGTGGCAAACTGTGGCTGAGTTGAGACCAAGCCCCCCTACCAGCTCCAAATGTTCACGGCTCTGGCAGAGAAAGTGGCGGGGCCAAGGTCAAGACCTAACCGGCCTCCACTGTGGTAAGCCAAAGCCCCCAGCCCCTCAAAACTCTGTGGCTTTGTGCCTACTTATCTTTATGATGCTCCTCCTGCATTCCAGCAGTGTTGAATTTCCCTCTAAGCTACTCTCCTATGCTGAATTCTGCGGATTCCCTCTGGTATGTGTAACTCCAACACCATCTTCCCGGAAGTCTTCCATTATTTCTTAAATGCTTCCTCCCACCCTACTATCATGATCCAAATTCTACCTTTCAAGTCTGGCTAGACCAGAGGATGTACACTGGTACAGATAGTAACCGGAAACACAGGGAATCCAGGGCAATGATCTCTTCAGGACCAGTGGTGTGAGTGGCAATACTGGGAGGGTAGAGGGAGGGTGGGTTGGAAAGGGGGAACTGATTACAAGGATCTACATGTGACCTCCTCCCTGGGGGACGGACAACAGAAAAGTGGGTGAAAGAAGACATCAGACAGGGCAAGATATGACAAAATAATAATTTATAAATTATCAAGGGTTCATGAGGGAGGGGCAAGCCTCATGAGGGAGTTCATGAGTTCATGAGGGAGGGGATAAAATGAGGAGCTGATGCCAGGGGCTTAGGTGGAGAGCGAATGTTTTGAGAATGATGAGGGCAATGAATGTACAAATATGCTTTACACAATTGATGTATGTATGGTTTGTGATAAGAGTTATATGAGCTCCTAATAAAACACTATATATACATAAAAAGAAAGCCACAACTTTGAGCTTCGATGAATGTGCAGACTTTTGTAACTGGGCACGTCCATTGTGGGAACCCTGTAAGTATTAGAAATATTGCCTCCTGGAGCCTCTGGGCTTGGGCAGGTTCTTCACTCCACAATGTAAATATCTCTTTTGTGCATCTGGCATTTATAATTTGTTGACTAAAGAAAATAGCTATGTTTGTGTTCTTGTGTGGACCTCAGCAAAGGCTCCCACGGAAAGAGAAATGCTTGGTGTCTGGTACACCTGGAACAGCTGTGGTTCCAGGCTTACATGTTTCTGAATCGACTGATGTCAAATGTGGCCTTTGTCTTGTGAGCATGAGTGCTTAGTTGCGCTGAAGACAAACCCTTGGACAGAAGTGCAGAAAGCATTTGGGCTGGAATTGAGCTGGCTCTGCTCCTGCTTCCTGCCATGCTTATAAGTAGCACACAACTTTGGGGCTTACATTGTCTGGTTCCATAAGTTTTTACAACAAGATGAACACTATAGCTTTACTAGTGGCACATTACCACCTGTTAAAAGAAACCATCACCAACGACGAAAAATACAACTTTCCTCTAGTTCCTAAATGCTTCCTCCCTGCTCCCACTACCATGATTCGAATTCGTCCTTGCAAGTCTGGCTAGACCAGAGGATGAACGCTGGTACAGATAGGAACTGAAAATACAGGGAATCCAGGGCGGATGAGCCCTACAGGACCAGTGGAGTGAGTGGCGAAACAGGGAGGGTAGAAGGAGAGTGGGTAGGAAAGAGGGAACCGATTACAAGGAACTATATGTGACCTCCTCCCTGCGGGACGGACAACAGAAAAGTAGGTGAAGGGAGACATCGGACAGGGCAAGATATGACAAAATACCCATTTATAAACTATCAAGGGCTCATGAGGGACGGGGGAGCGGGGAGGGAGGGGGAAAATGAGGACTTAATGCCGGGGGTTTAAGTGGAGAGAAATTGTTTTGAGAATGATTAGGACAATGAATGTACAAATGTGCTTTACACGATTGATGTGTGTATGGATTGTGATAAGAGTTGTATGAGCCCCTAATAAAATAATATAATAAAATGATTTTTTTTTAAAACCAGCAGAATAATCGAGAGTCCTGTTTTCTGAATGATAAGAATTCTACTGCTATATTCTATTCTCAACAATTTTGACAGCAAACTCTAAAAACAAACCAAAATATACCAGTCTGAATAGCAATGCTTCATTTTTCGGCCAATAGATCATCTTTTCATATTATGATCAGTATCAGCACAGCACAAAACTGAATGATCTTGTTTCTATTTCTCTTCATATTTCTTTCATGTCGATCTAATTGCAGGTGAGAATTCAAACCGACCTTAGCTGAAGTACTCCTGCCGAGTCTCTTCTTCAGGTTTGGGGTCTTCATCACGCTCTTCCTTGGCAACACTCTTTTTGAGCATGGCTTCAGTATATTCATGGATGACCTCGTGGGCGGCAAGAATGTGCTTCCGCTGTGCATTCCTCACTGTACCAAAGGTGACAGAAATATGTTTACTCTGCATGTTCTCATGAAACTGTTCCCAAAAGTGATACAAACGATGGGTCTGCAAAACACGGTTGATGGGGTTACGCAAAAATCATCTGCTCTCTCAGACCCTAAACAAAACAAACACAATTCCTATCAATGGGAATGAGGAGGAGGGCAGAGTGGAGACTCAAAGCCCATCAGTAGTCAATTGGACACCCCCTGGAAGAAGGGCCACATGGATGGGAAGAACCAGTCAGGGTGCAGTATAGCACCAACGAAACACACAACCTTCCTCTAGTTCTTTAATGCTCCCCCCCTCAGCCCCCCCAACCCCAACTACCATGACCCCAATTCTATCTGAAAATCTGGCTAGATCTGAACATGTATACTGGTGCATATGAGCTCGTAACACAGGGAATCCAGAACGGATAAACCCCTCGGGACCAATAAGGGGAACAGTGATACTAGGAGGGTAAGGTGGGTGAGAGGAGTAAAGGGGAACCGATCACAATGATCAACATATGCCCCTTCTCCCAGGGGAATGGACAGCAGAAAAGTGGGTGAAATGAGACAATGGGAGGTGTAAGACATGAAAAACAAAAAGAGAATAATTTATAAATTATTAAGGGGACATGGAAGAGAGGGTGGGGAAGGGAGAGAAAAAAATGAGGAGCTGATACCGGGGCTCAAGTAGAAAGAAAGCGTTTTGAAAAAGATGATGACAACATATGTACAGAAGTGTTTGACTAAATGGGTATATGTATGGATTATGATAAGAGCCCCCAATTAAAAAAATCATCTGCCCTCTGTCTTATAAAAATATATTCTAAGGTAAAACAACCCCCAAATAATTTCTTATTGGGTCAGGTGCTTCTGGGTCAGGTGCCTCTGTCCCTACTCCCAGGATGCCTGCCAAGCCCACGTCTTCCAAGACCAGCCCACATTTACCTCACTAGAGTTTTGCCAACTATTCAGGACTGAAGTACTTTACACAACTTAAGTTTTGTTGTCAACGACGATGATAGTGACTTAACAGCAGAGACCATGTTTCATACTTCTTAATCCCTATGCGATAAAGATGAGTTTCTGAGCTCATGGCATTAGAAGATAGTCCAAGCTCCATATTCTAAGAATATTTCTTTTTAAGTCTCCAAACTATAGACAGCACTAAGCATCTAAGTTCTTGGAGTCCTGGTAGTACCATGGGGTAGGCATTGGGCTAATAATTTTACAGTCTCAAAACCGTATCTACCCTTTATAGCAGTGGTTCTTAACCTGTGGGTTGTGACCCCTCTGGGGGTCGAACAACCATTTCAGAAGGGTCACCTGATTCATAACAGTAGCAAAATTACAGTTATGAAGTAGCAATGAAAATAATTTTATGATTGTGGGTCACCACAACATGAGGAACTGTATTAAAGGGTCGCGGCATTAGGAAGGTTGAGAACCACTGCTTTATAGCATCATAAATCAGAATTGATTTGATGGCAGTATGTTTGGGTTTATGGAAGCCCTTGGAAAAGTGTTATAATAATAATGGTGCTGATGGTATTAGTTACTTTGTGCCAGGCAGTTGGCATACAATTATTCCTTTAACACCTCCATAAATGTAAAATAGCATATGATTGTTGTTGTTCGGTGCTGTTGAGTAGGTTCAGATTCACAGCAACCAATGAACAATGGAACAAAACATTGCCGGGTCCTGTGCCATCTTTGCTATGTTTGAACCTAAAGACACCGTGTCCATCTATCTCAGGTGGGTCTTCCTCCTCTTCTTCATTGCCCCTCTGCTTTACCAGGTGTGATGTCCTCCTCCAGGAACTAACCCCTTCTAAGAACACACCCAAAGCACATGAGACAAGGTCTCATCATCCTTGTTTCTAAGGAGCACTCTGGCTGCGTTTCTCCTAAGATAGAGTTGTTCGTTCTTCTGGAAGTCCAGGGTATATTCAAAATGCCTCATCCCTACCATAATTCAAATGCATCTGATTCATCTCCAGTTTTCTTTATTCACTGCTCAGCTTTTACTTGCATAGGATGTGGCAAAAACATGATGGCTTGGTGCAAGCACACTTTAGTCCTCAAAAAGTGGCATTTTTGCTTCTTAACACTTTAGAGCTCTTTTGTAGCAGATTTCCCAATTCAACACCTTATCATTTGGTTTACTGGCTGCTACTTCTGGGGTTCTCTTGCTACTGCTTCCATGAGCACTGATTGTGGATTTAAACAAGAGGAAATGTGTAACAGCTTCAATCTTTGCTTCATTTATCATGATGTTACCAACTGGTTCAGTAGTAAGACTTTCGGTTTTCCTTACATTGAGTTGCGATCCATACTTTGAGGACTAAGGCTTGATACAAGCTGAGATAGTTTATTGTGCCAGCCTGGCCGATAAACACAAGTGGGATTAACTGAAGGGTGGAGAGATAAATGGCTCGGTGAGCCTCGCCTTTCTTGTCTCTCGCTCTGTGATCATCGGACCAGTGTGCGGCTGCCCTGCTTGTTCTGTCCCTCAATTTAAAGGCTACACTACCTGTGGGACGCCTAGCCTGTGGACTGTGTTGCTGTAAGTTGAGGTCCCTTTAAGACATCTCTGGAGCTGGGGACTGGCGGTTGGTGACCTGGCTGACAGTTGGTGACCTGCCTTGTGATTGGCTGCTGTGCTGACATAGCCTAGCTCTCTCTATATATAGAGGAAGACCTGGCAGCAGACTAGACTTGAAGGACTGCTAGTGTCTCACAACTCTCTCTCACGGGAGTGAGTTGCTGAGCCATTTGTACTGCTTTATAATTTACCTGTTCATTTCTTGTATTATATATCTATCTGTATATAACTTAACAGTTCATTTTTTGTGTTATATATCTAATTATCTTTATAAATAAATATATTAAATTATCCGCAATTTGGTCTTATCTCTCTAGAGAACCCTAACACACAAGCCATGGTTATTTTCAACCCAAGTCATGGTACTTTCAATTGCTTCATTTTATTGTGAAAGCTGGACATTAGAAGAAGACCAAAGAAGAATTGACTCATTTGTATTCAGGTGCTGGTGAAGAACATCAAAAGTAGCACGGGATGCCAAAAGAACATACAAATCTGGCCTGGAAGAAGTACAGCTAGAAAGCTCCTTTGAGGCAAAGATGGCAAGACTTTGGCTTACATGCTTTGGGCATTGTTGTCAGAAGAGACCATTCCCTGGAGAAGGACACCGTGGTTGGTAAAGTAGGGGGGCATTGTAAAACGGGTCTTTTGATGCGATGGGCTGACATGGCGGCTGCATCGATGGCTCAAACATAAGAACAGATGTGAGGATGGCGCAGGCAGCGTTTTGTTCTGTTGTGCACAGGGCCCCTATGAGTTGGAACGGATTCAATGGCACCCAACAACAACAACAACTTCTATGATTCTTAATTGTGGATCAGAGAAAATGAAATTCTTGAAACCTTCAATATTTTTTCAGTTTATCTTGATGTTGCTTATTCATCCACTTCTGAGGACTTTTGTTTTCCCTAAAATGAAGTATGATCTGTACGAAAGGCTGTATTCTTTGAAAATCATCAGTAAGTGCTTCAGGTCTTCTTCACTTTCAGCACGCATAAAGCAGGTTGTTAACAAGTCTTCCTCTGATCCTCATGCTGTCTACTTCTCCACATAGTCCCTTCCTCAAATTATTTGCTCCTCCTCATACAGCTTGAGTAAGTATGATGAGAGGATACAATTTTGATGCCCCCTTTTCCTGACTTTAAACCATGCAGTACTTCTGTTCTTTTTAAACAACTGCCTGCTGGCATAAGATCAAGGTCCTCATGAGAATAAGTATTCTGGAATTCTCACTCTTCAAAATGATTTCCATATTTTCTTGTTATGATCCACACAGTTGAATGCATTTCCAGTCAATAAAACTTATCTTTCCATCTGGCTTCTTGTTGTCATTAGGTGCCACCAAGTCAGTTCGAGAGCCTGCCTCTTTTTGCTGCCCCTCTACCAAGCATGAGGTCCTTCTCCAGGGACTGGTCTCCCTGATAACATGTCCAAAGTACGTGAGACAAAGTCTTGCCATCTTCACTTCTAAGGAGCATTTCTGGCTGCACTTCCTCAAAGACAGGTTTGTTTGTTCTTTTGGCAGTACATGGTACTTTCAATATTCATCACCAGCACCGCACTTCAAATGCAGCAATTCTTTTTTGGCCTTATTTAATGTCCAACTTTCACATGCATACGGAGGCATTTGAAAATACCATGGCTTGGGTCAGGACCATTGTGGTAGTTACATAATCTGGTGTCAGTTTGGGACTTGAGAGGATTAACAGTGAAGGGGTGGAGTCTAGTCTGTCAATCGGATCATAGGCAATGAGGCCTCTGTGTGGGCATGGCCTTGTCCTGAGAATTCTGGGAACTCCTGTATTTTCCTCCTTGGGAGACAGGAGACATTTTCTCTCTTTCTCCTCACTTCCTTGGAGACTCTCTACTGACAAGACACAAGGCTGTCTCCCTGTGAGACATCCCTGAGGAGAAGCCACAAGGACCTACCCTGATACAACTGGACCTCTGAAGTCAGAGAAGCCACATAGAGACCCCTGCCAGCATTGAGATGCTTACAATGCAACTGAATTCAAAGACTTTCTACCCACTGGCCTGTGATCATCCTGCATTCAGCGCCATTGCATGTGTTTTGTGAATCTGAAGAGGACTTTATAGATTGGTATTGGACATATGGGCTAATATAGGACTTTTGGACTTGCTCTGGGCCGGGCTGGGATGTTTTCTCAATATTCAATTGCTCTTGTATACCAAGCTCTTTCTTATACACATATGAGTTTCTATGGATTTGTTTCTCTAGTCTACCTGAACTAACACACCCATCTTAGTGCTCAAAGTAACATCCTTGCTTTGCCACACTCTAAAGAGGTCATGTGCAGCAGATTTACCCAATGCAAAATGTCATTTTTTTCCTGACTGCTACTTCCATGAACATTAATTGCGGATCCAACCAAGACTAAATCCTCAACAACTTCAATCTTTTCTCCATTGACCATGATGGTACCTCTTGGTCTAGTCATGCGGATTTGAGTCTCCTTTTCATTGAGTTGTAAGATCCATCTGGCTTCTGCAATGATGTTCTTGTGTTCTAGATCCTCTTCAGAATCCAGCTTGACCTTCTGGAAGATCCCTGTCAATGTATTGCTGTAACCATTTTTGAATTATCTTTAGGAAAACTTTATGTACACGTGCTATTGGTTATACTGTTTGAAAAATTCCATATTCTGTTGAATTGCCTTTCTTTGGAAAGGGTACAAATTTGGATCTCTTCCATTCAGTTGGTCAGTAGTTGTCTTCCAAATTTCTTGGCATAGATTCATGAATGCTTCCAGTATTGCCTCTACTTGTTGAAACATTCTCAATTCATATTTCATCAAGTCCTATAGTCTTGTTTTTTAGCAAAGTCCAGTGTAGCTTGAACTTCTTCCAAGAACATCAGTTCTTGATCATATGTTTCCTTCTGAAATGGAGTAAAAGTGATTCTATTTGGGCTCAAACAGTGAAAGAGACCTTGAAAACAACACGGAAATAAGAAAACTCCACCAGTCTCAGAAGTGCTCCCATAGCTCTGCACAGCTATACATTTCTGAGATTAAAAAATTAAATCCTAACATAAAGCATTTACACTGGCTTACCTTTTTCTTTGACAGAGTCCTTCTGGACCTCTGGGATCAGGAAGCTATAAACCAATTCAGCAACAATTTCCTCTGACTGATTCTGCATTCGACTGAGAAAAACAAAACAATGCATTTGTTTTTGTGTCTAACTTGAGCTGCCAATTTACAAATATACTTCAACTCTCCTTGCTTATGTAAGAAATTCCACGCTCAAAAGTCTCCATATCCTTTTCTTTGATTAAATGATCTGGAAACACTACAGGTGAGCGTGGTTGCACCCATGGATATTTTCATTGTGATCTTTAATTAAGCTGCAGGTTAGGAACTGAATAGTAGCGATACATGCGGCTTATCCACGGAAGCTAAAGAACATAGGGTAGCTGTTCTAGGTGCAAGGAACTCTTGCAAAATTTTCTTCCCGGCTTTTAAAATATTGATGGTAGTCTTTTCTTCTTTACTCGTTGTTTATATTTTAATCTTTATATTACTACTGTTGTATCCAGGCCACATTATTTCATTTTGTTCTTTACTGTTTCTGTTGGGTTTACCATTTTCCAAAGTACAGAAGGAGTGGATGCATAAAGATAAAAACTGATGCAAGGTTGGGTTGGGGATATAGGGGTAAGGGGAGGTGGGGAGTGGGGGGTGTTGGGGAGTAAATAATGAGGGTGGGAGGTGGAGGGAGAACTAAAACAATGTGATCACACAACTCATTTTAAAGGCGATTTAATCAGGGTGGGAAAGCAAGAGAAAATGTTCTAAAATTGATTGTGGTAATGACTGTACAGTTCTTCTTGATACGATTGAATGATATGATATGTGGATTATATACCAATAAAACTATATTTAAAAAAAATTTTTTAAAGAACATGGGGTAGGTAGTTCTGAAATGATAGCTAAATTCCGAACCGTATAGCTCACACTCATCCACATTGCCTTTATGCTTTGAACTGTTCTAAGAGTAAGTAATATGAAATAATCCAGATTCCAGTGAATTACTGAGAATTCAGTTCCCAGTACTCCTAACATATGCATTGGCTTCTAAGGCATTGTGCTAATACAAGAATGAACAATGAAGCATGCACTATCTGTTTTTCTTTGGGGTTTGGATCTTAAGCTCCATGGTAGTTACATAATCTGGTGTCAATCTGAAAGGATTATGAGTGAAGGGGTGGAGTCTAGTCTGTCAATAGGGTCATAGCCAATGAGGCCTCTGTGTGGGCACAGCCTTCTCTTTAGAATTCTGGGAACTCCAAGATTTCCTCCTCAGAGGCGGGAAACAATCTCTCACTCAACTCATTCCCTGGGAGACATTGCAGCTGACAAGACACATGGAACTACCTAGTGCCCTGAGCTAAAGAAGCCACATGGACCTACCTTGATGCAACCAGACCTCTGAAGCCAGAGAAGCCATGTAGAGACCCCTGCCAGTGCTGAGATGCTTACACCACCACTGGATCCAAAGACATTCTACCCACTAGCCTGTGATCATCCTGTATTCGGCATCATTGTGTTTCATGAGTCTGAAGAGGGCTTTATAGATTGGTATCGGACATATGAGATAATATCAGACTTATGAGCTTGGACTGGACTGAGCTGGGATTTTTTTTCCAATATTCAACTGCTCTTGTATATAAAGCTCTTTCCTATACATATGAGTGTGTCTATGAATTTGTTTCTCTAGACTACCCAGACTAACACAAGCTCCTAGAAAAATACAAATAAATAACAGCACATGGATCTGGTCTTTTTAACCCTCTGTTTTCTTGGTACATACTGGGTTTCCATTTCATAAGCGATGTTATTGATCTCCTCAGCCATCTTCTCAATTTCTGCCCTAGCTTGTTCATCTGCAGTATTCTCTTCGGTATTCAGTATTATGTCTTCCAAGTAGGAGGTGACAGTACTATGGTGGATTTTAATCACCTATAGAAAGCAAAATACCTCACTTAGAAAGAACAGGAATGCTACTGCACAAAAGACTGGAAAAATACACATTAGTTGACTTTTCTTGACACATCCTTTAATTAGTCAATAAACCCTTCTGTTAATTTTCCTTTTCTTTCCCATCCAGTCAATCTGATTGTAATCTACCTACCTACTAATTCTGGGCACACACACCCCAAACACACAACCAACCAAACAACCAACTACATCTGGCCCATTTTAGTATTGTGGTCCTACTCAGGGGCGGGCAGTGCATCATTGGACAAAGACCCCTGGGAAAAGTATGCTTGGTTTGGATACTGGCTCTGTCCTTATCACTAGTGGCACTTGGTTAAACTAACTGAGCCAGCGATTACAAAGTGTCTTCCAATAGCTCCTTTCCTGTTTTCTTCAGTAATAAGGGTAGAAGCCCAAGATGTTAGCCCAGCATAAAGCCGACATTTCTTAGTATCCATGGGAGCCACACATGGCAATATGACTAAATTCTGGCCAGCAGACGATATGTGCAGAAAGAAGAATTCTTAAAGGGAAAGAACTCGTTCTCTGTTGGCTTTCAGCAAAAATCAAACCCAAAATGATCAGTTGACTTTTCCTAGCATATCTATTGCATGCCTGAGGGATGGGAGAGCAGAAAGCTAGAAGGGCCCTGGGTCTCTGATTAATTCATTTAAGTATCATATCATCCCTGGTCTGATTTGATTTTTTTTATAATGTTTTCTTTAAGTTGTGACATAGAATACACATAAAGAAAACTTCAGAGCCCCAATCTGTAAAGTGTAATGAATAAATGTAAGGTCGACACCCAAATCACCATCGCTGGTATCCTAGAAGGTCCCTGTGGCATCTTCCTAACCACAGCCCCTGCCCACTTTCATGACTATCAGGGGAAACACTTCCTGGTTTATCTTTATAGCTGGGCTCCTGAAGTGTGAAACCATACGTGAGTTTTGCCTGTTTTACAGATAGCGAGAAAGTAAGTGTCGTAAGCATCCAGGGCTGCAAACTTAATTTTGTATCTGTCCCCTCAATGAATGACCAATTCCTCAGGGCTGGGGCCCTTTTCTACTAGGCTATAGATTTCAGTATATTGGAGAAAATACTGGGACTTGGTGGCAATGCAGTATTGCTTGGCACTGCTGCAGGGTTCCATGTATGTGCGCCTGTGTTTCCACCTGAAAAGTACCTCTCCATAACTAGCCCCTAAGCCTTCCCAATTTCACACAGTATCAACTAATCAAACAAAATATTGTAGCTGAAGGTCTACTCTGTAAAGCGTTTGTTGCTGTTGGTGCAATCCAGTTGGCTCTGACTCATAGATTCCCAACGTGTTTGACTTAGCACACCCTTTGTAGAAAGAAAATGACTCCGAACTGCCTGACAATGAAACCCTTTTGTTCTCTAGCTGTTAACCCAGGGGAGAGCATGGCATCTGCTTCCGTAGCCTCAGGGAGCTCACCAGCGCCCCCCACCACCAGGGGGCAGTATCGCCCCTTTGGGGAAGCACTGCCGCGCGGCTGCCGGCTGCCCAGCGACTGGGCACTTGCCTCCTTGAATATCTGGTCCTCCTCGCGGAGACGTCTTTGTTCCACCTGGCGCCGGCCGCTCTCTTCCGCCTCCCGCATCCGCCTCTGCCTTTCCGCCAGCATGGCGAAGGCATGGATCCGCCTCTCTTCTTGCAGGCGGATCAGCTCTTTCGACAGGAAGTCGAACATGTCTGCCAACGCCCTGCCTTCCAGTCCCGCCAAATGATTTTCAACCAGTAACACCTAAAATAATAACCAGTTTAAGCACGCGAAAGCAATTTGAAAGATTAGATAGGAACCTTATAGGGCAGAAAGTTTATGGTAATGAGGGAATAACAACTTACAGAAGGAAGGTGAGAACAGTTATGAATTTTACCTGGGGAACTGTTCTGCTATGTGCATTTTTAAAACAACAATAAATAAATAAATAACATTAATTAAAACAAGCAAATGAAACAAGAAAGTAAGAAGAAAGACAGGATGAACCTTGTGCTCATGCAGGTTCCTCTGTCGCTGTAAGGCCAGGGTCACTTGCTTCTCAGCTTTCTTCAGCAGCCTGTCGTCTTCTTGCAGAGCATGGCTAGTGCGCAACTCCTGGATCAATTCATACCGCTTTTCTTTCCCTTCAAACATCTGTATCACATCAAATCAGAGAGATACTTGCAAATTAAATTCCCCTTATGCCATCACCAGGACTCCTGTGCAAGGGCTGGGAGGTGCCAGAATCAGCTAGTTGCTCAGTCCCGCTGCCTTGTAGATGAATATCCACTTAGCTTGAAGTCAGCCTTCTTTTCTATGCCTCCTACTGTTCAGGCAGAGAGGGGGCTCAGTTATTAGTTCATTGTTAACCCAGGATGCCTCTCAAAGACGAAGTGTAAGCCAGAGGACTGTATTATACAGCTAACAGCTCTCTCTCATTTCCTATGATTCTTCCCTAAGAAGCATAGATGATACTGAAATCTTTTCCACTAAATCTGTCCCTTGTTTGTAGTACAGCGTCTCAACTATATGAACTTGTCACTGTGGGGTTTCTCTGGAGGAATACTGTAAAAATAGTAAAGAATCATGGTGAACACAAGTTGCTCACCCAGATTCCTTGGGCTTCTGCATCGTAGCTGAGTCTCTTAAGAGTCACAGCTGACTGAGGGGGAGAGCAAATTAATTACTTGAAATTTTAAATTAAGTTTCCTTTAATGTTTTTTCTTTAATGTTTGTTCCTTTAATGTTTGTTCTAGTTCAGTCTTTATAGTCAGAAAGACCAAAGGTTAAAACTGTAGCACTTAATCTTTCTCATATTCGGATTATTTGTCTGTAAAACAAAACAGACGACATACATATGCAGAACAAGTGGCATATCATTATGGGCATATTAGAGTTTCAAAATATGGTTGCCAATTAGCTGTCTCAATTATAATGCAGGAATTGCTAACTAGAGTTAAATAATTTTAATATGACTTGTGGAAAATGAGGGAATCCACTCAATGCCTTAATTTGACACCGAACTCGACCTTGGACAAACTATGGCAAGGGAAGGGAACGAGTAGCTAACTGAAGAGCTGACCTCCGAGTATAGCAGAGGGCAGGGGTGAGTTTACCCGAAGGAGTCAAGCACATAGACACTCTAAACCAACTCTGAGAGGAGACGCTGGACCATCAGTGGACCCTACATACCATGTTCTGAATGACTCTTCCCCGGATTAATTGTTGAAGGAAGATCACAGCCATCTCTATCTCTTCTTCTTCCTAAAAGAATAAAGGGAAACCAAGCAGCTTGAGAACTGTTTGATCAGTAAGAGTAGGATCAAATATTTTTTGAAGATTTATATCAAGCAAAAGAGACTGTGCTCAATGCCAAAAGGGCTGAAAGCATTAAACCTGCTTCCTGCCCTCATTCAGCATAGTGTTTGCAAAGTTATTTACTGTTTCATGAAATTTTATTTTTTATCATAACTTATATTTAGCAGTTCAAATCAAAAGCAAAAAAGACAATCTATCCATTGTCATCCTCATTTCAGTTTTTCTATATTCTTTTTCAGCAAACTTTCTTTAAAAATTTTTAACAGTTTTATTGACATATATAGTCCAATGGTTCAGCACAACCAATTTTAGAACATTTGCTTCATTCCTGTATTTATTAGTATTAGCTCACTATTTTCCTCCAATTTCCCATATAATAACCCTAAGAAATCATTATTCTATTTACTATCTCTGTAGATTTGGCTATCTGGGATTTTATATAAAGAAAATCAAACAAAAAACGATGAGTAAAGCATGAAGAAAATATTCTAAAACAGATCGATTGTACAACTCTTCTTGATGCAATTGAACTATTGAACTCTACGATATGTGAATATTATGCCAATAAAATTACTGGAGTGTGGCAGTTACATAATCTGTCAACTTGATTTAAGGGGTGGAGTCTAGACTATCAATCAGGTTCTAGCCAAACATGCTTCTGTGTGGGCATGGCTTTCTCCTGAGGATTCTGGGAACTCCTGTCTTTTTTCCTGGAGGTGGGACACACACTCTCTCTGCTTCACATTCCTCAGGAAAAGCCAGATGGAGCTATGTTGACAGAGCCAGAACCAGAGCTCTAGATCTGGAGGAGTCCCTGGAGACCCACGCCAGTGTTGAGATGCCTCCATCACCACTGGATCCACAAGACTTTCCACCCACTGGCCTGTGATCTTCCTGCATTCAGTGTCATTGCATGTGTTGCATGAGTCTGAAGTGGGATTTATAGACTGGTATCAGACATATGGACTAATATCAGATTTATGGTTTGATCTGGACTGGGCTGGGATGTTTCTCAATGTTCAATTGCTCTCTCATGTAAAGCTTTTTCTTACACACACACACACACACACACACACACACACACACACGAACAAAAAACCAACAAGAAAAAAGAAAATAATAAACAATAGGAAAAAATTAAAATGAGTCAAAAGGAAAATAAACGATAAGGTCTTAGATTTTAGCCTACCTATATCGGCATTAATCTACTTTCCAACACTGTGTCTGAGGGCTATTCACATCCCTGGAAATGGCCTGAGGTGGTTCACCAGAGGCTTAGTCCATGAGGGGGGTCGGGGTAGGGGGTATTCTACAGATGGGTTTTGGACTTTCACAGTCATCTGTATCAGAAAAGCCTTTCTTAAAGAAACCGGTATTACTTAAAAGATCCCTTTTTCTATATTTTTATGTTTAATCATGTTCATCTTTCCATACAACTAGTCTATTTCCGAGTTCAGAGTATTGTGCTTCTCTCGAGAATATAGTTGGACTGGTAAAATCAGAATATAATGCATGGAATTAGCCATCCATGAAACTCACTTGAAAAGATGATCTCAAAAGCAGAAAGCACAAAGTCTGAAAATATAATTAAGGCTTCTCTGCATGTAAAAGAAGCCAGTCTAATCAATGCCATTAATACATGAAAAGGACAATGTGTCAACCAAACAAAGGCAGTGGTCTGTTCCAAGTCAAGGCCAAAGGGGTTGGCAACCACGGAGAAGCGCATGCAGGCCAGTCAGTGGGAGCATTCTAGCCCCTCCACCAGAGCCACCCAACAGACTCAGGTAACAGGCACAGTCAGGCCTCCCACTGACCCTCCTTCCTCCTACTGCTGGCACACCAACCTTTGGAATTCCATTTAGTTTCTTAGAAAGATTGCACTACATTGGCAATTTGATGTACCACCCACAGGAATCACTGGTCTACCAGTAAGTTGTATGTCTTTCCATTAAATAATACATTTTCATTGTGACGTTGTTTCTTTTTTAAAAACTTTTTGTTTTGGTCGAAAGTTGACAGAGCGAATTTGTTCAACAACTCATACACATTCTGTTTAGTGACAATAGGGCAATCCCCACAATGTAACAGCAGCCTTCCCATTGCTCCTGGTAATTACCCCTGGTCTTTCTTTCTTATCCCGTCTGCTTTCTGAGTATTATCACTGGGAAAAGGCCTGCCTATGGATTTTGTACAGTTGGTTGTTCTAGGAAGTGCATACCTCCTTGGAATTACTGTTCACTTCATACACCTATCATTTACTTACAATTTGAGTCATGGTGGTAGATTCAGTTCCAGGCCTGAAGGTTATCTAAGGACTGTGGTCTCACTCATGGATTCCACCAGTCTCTACCAGATCAGTAAGCTTGTTCCTTGTCATTATTGTGCATTGCTCCATATTTTTATCCCATTCTATCCAGGACCTCCTACTGTCATCCCTTTAAAGGTGGTTGGCCACTGTTGGGCACCATCTAGTTCTTCTTGTCTCAAGGTTGTGGAGGTCCATTCTGTCTTTGAATTAATTAATTCCTTGTGCCTTTGATTTTCTTTGCTCTTCTTTGGTTCAGATGGAGAGAGGTCAATAGTCACACCTAAGATGGCTGGTCACAAACTTTTAAAATCTCAAGTGCCACACATCAAAGTAAAATGTAGAACGTTTGTGAACTCTGTTATTCCAGTTGACCTTGATGCCCTGAAGCCTATGGTCTGGAGCCCCTGGCCCAGTGTATCATTCCCCCAAGGTCATGGCTAAATGTTTTCCTAGCGTTCCTCTTTTTGCAGCACATATGAATACATATGTGGAAATAGCTTCTGTCAAACCTCTATCTACATTCATGAGTAGAGTCCCATTTTCCTTCCCACTCCATTCAGCTTACATGCCTATATATCCACTTACATATTATTATTATCATTATTATTATTACTATTGTTCCAAGATTGTGCTTTTAATTCACATACATCTACTAGTGCCTTCCTTTGGCTTCATAATACGTTGCTGGCCTCCCTCTGTCTTCCCCTTCATCCAAGTCAATATGTGTCTCCCCTCTTGTTGATGATGAACCCTACATTTCCCTCCCACCCTGGTAACCTTCAAAGATTTTTCCTTTCTGTGAGCAAACCTTTCCTTAACTGTTTATAGTAGTGCCATTTTATTAAAAAGTTGGAAATAGAAATGCCACATGACACAGCAATCCCACTATTAGGAATATCCTAGAGCAATAAGGGCCATTATACACATAATAATATGCATACCTATGTTTATCAGAACACTACTCACAATAGCAAAATGGTGGAGCCAACCCAAATGCCCATCAATAAGTGAATGGATAAACAAATTGTGGTGCATACACACAACAAAATACTAGTCAGTGTTAAAGAATAATATGAACCTGTAAAATACCTCATATTATGACTGAACCTGGGGAACATAATGCTGAGTGAAACTAGACAGTCACAAAAGACAAGCAACTATTGTATGGCATTGTTTCTTGTGTTTTTGTTATTTTGTTTTAAGTCGTTCTTATCAGTCTTAACCAACTCTGGCTACCTTTATCCAAATCAAGTTTGGGGATCTGCAAAGGTGATGTGTGGCCTTGGTGAGGTTGACTCTTTTAAGCTATCCCTCTCTACTCCAGGACCCAGCCTATCTCTCTGGAAGACCCATCTCTGGGCATTTCACCTCTCTCCAGTTTCAGCTATTACCAGCCATCTTTCTATGTAGAGACAGTTAAGGTAACTGCTCATCGTCCAATGTTCTATGTTTGACATTCATGAAGCTTAACTTCTGAAGCCTATTTATCTTGGAAGGCTTTTTATTATTTGTGTTTTTTATTTCATGAAAGGATTAGTTAAGACTCCATTTCTTTTTCTTTCTTTCTTTCATAGTTGTTTGATACAGAAGAATAAACACAGCATGGGAAATACATGCTTTTCAATTTGCTTTCGACCCCAATAATCCTAAGGACAAATCAACAGCAATACGGAATTTATATGTTAAACTTGAAAGTTTCAAACTTACATTGGAGCCCATTTCCAGTGTCGGTGTTGGAAGCCGGGGTGGAGGTATTGGGTTTCTTTGAAGGAAGTGCAGTGGTTTTTTTGGTTCAAGAAGCTTATTCTTCTTATTCACTAGTGCCTGAAACAAGATAATTTAATTTTTTACTTTTGTCTTTCCCCCCACTGTCAGCTCTAAATCTTAGATCTGAATATCAATCAGAATTAATATGCTTATAATAGTACGGTGATTGAGAAAATCCAAACTGGGTTGCTTGTGTCCCCTAGGGGCGGCTGTGCATTCCCGAGTATACAGTTACCACTACATAATCATGGCAGATAGCCTAAAAGCATCATTTTAATTATAAATTGGGAGGATTGTTTTATAAAAAGATTGAGTTTTTTAAAGGCCTCTCCCAAGAAATTGCTTTGCTGGGCAAGGAATTAAGAATCGTGGTTTTCTAGAGTTGATGAATAGCTACTCGAGGGCTCGTTCCCCAACCCTCCACCCCTATCGCTTAAACTCGCCCCAACTGAGACGGACTATAGACTGTCCTTTAACTTTGCCTCATATCGGATATAGCCAACATGCCAGTATAACTAAAGGGATATGAATTCACAAGCCAAAAGTTCCACGCCTTTGAGAAGCACTACTATCTCAAAAGAAAAGAACAAAACTCAATTAAAATTCCTTCAGAAGTCAAGGTGAATCAAGAAAAGAGGAGGCCAGGACTCAAGGTAAACCCAATAAAAAGAGACTAGAAGACAGTATCATTAAGAATCTAGTAAAATACAAGAAAGGTGGAGGACTCTTAATAAAATCTATTAATTTAAGTAAAAGCATAGTAAGTGGAATAAGCACTGGACTAGATAAACCTAAAGACCAAATTATGAAACCAGAAGTCAAATTCAGGAATTATCTCAGAATGAAGAATAATAAAGAAATACATAATAAAAAAGTAAAGTTTAGGGTTACACGAAAAATAGAAATGCCAGTGTAGGGGTCCAAAAGTAAGGAAAATAAATAAAAATGGGGAGAAAATATTTGACAAAAGAATGAAGAAAAAGTCCCAAAAGTTAAAGACTGAGTCAAGGCCTCTCTTTATTAACAGTGCCGTGGAGGCCCAAAAAGATGGGGCAGGAGACACAATCTCCAAAACTCAGTAGTAATACATTTGAAAAGAAACCGTTAAATCCTCTGGAGAAAGAAATCAGATCACATCAAGAGACTAAGAGTTAGAGCAGAGTAACATCAACATCAGATGACAGATTAATATCAGATTAACGTCAACAAGGGATAAAATAAATGCTGGGAAGTATTTTTAAATGATTTAAAGAAAAAACAAACAAACAACAACTTTGGCCCTAGAATTCTAAATCTAAATAGCCTGTCCTTCACCCAGGAGGGTGTAATGCAGTGCACTACTTGATATGGTTCTTCTAGCCATCATCTTTGCAACTCTCAACGGTTGGCTCTCCAAACCAAACTGATCCCACTATCATTGGATCCATTCTGACTGATAACAATCCAATAGAGGGTTTCTGGGGTACTCTAAATTTTTACAGAAGCAGAGAGCCTCATTTTTCTCCCATGGAGTGGCTGCTGGGCTTGAACTACTGATTTTGCAGTTAATAATCCAACGGGGTGGAGCCGTGCAAATATGATGCATAGCACGCTAATGTGCGAATTGGTCAGTTTTGTCATCCTGCTGAATTAAATGTGCTCCATCTCAGAAGTGAAGCATCTTAGTACCCTCAAGAAAGAAGAGCCAGGAGTGGAGTATGTCTTTTGGACCTGAAGCAGCCTGTGCAGAACTTTCTCAATCCAGGAGACTAGAGAGCTGTGTCACCAGAGAAATGGCAGAGGGGTGGCAAGAGCAGAGGAGCAGGAACAGCAGAACCAAGAGTTGGAAGAGCCTGGAATTCTGTCCTGTGGAGTCAGTGACAGGCAGTGCCTTTGGAGGGCCTTAGGGAGGCAGGTGGCTCCAGGCACTTCACTGGGGTGGTTACGTTTGCGGGCCCAGGAGCGACAGCGGGGCACTTTGGGGCTGACACTTCAGCTTACCTGTAGTGGCCTTTGGGCGTTTATTGGCAGTGCTACAAGGGTTTGTAACACTTACTGAAGCAGGACGGAGGCCAGGGGATTGTGTGGCTGAGAGGCTGAGGGTCAGAGAGAGGTGTGCCTGAGGGCGTGGTATGAAGAGGTGTTCTTAAGACTGCCCCATCCTCACAACTCACTGCCCTGTTTGAATGCATGGCTGCAGCCACTGTGTCCATGCATTTTGTTTAGGGTCTTCTTGTTGGCTAACCCTTTATCAAACATGATGTCCTTCTCAGGAACTGGCCCTTAACTTGTAACATGTACAAAGTACATGAGATGAACTTTTTGTCAACCTCATTTTTTTTTAACTATATACAGAGACCTAAGAAGATCTTTACAGCTTTTATTTATTTGGGAAAAAAATTAGATCATTTTATTGGGGTCTCTTACAATCTTATAACAATCCATACATCGATTGTATCAAGCATATTTGTACCTATGTTGCCACCATTATTTTCTAAACATTTACTTTCTGTTTCAGCCTTTGGTATCAGCGCCTCTTTTTTTCCCACCCTTGTGACCTCTTGATAAATTATAAATTAGTACTATTTTCATGTCTTTTTTTTTTCATATCTTATCCCGACCACTGTCTCCCTTTCCCCATGGTTTCTGCTGTTCATCCCCAGGGGTGGGGGTGAGGTGCTTATGTGTTCCTCATTGTGATCCGTTCCCCCTTCCACCCTCTCCTCTCCTCACCTTCCCCCTACCCTCCTGGTATGGCTACTCCCATTTCTGTTCCCGAGGGGGTTATCTGACCTGGATTCTGAGGGTCTTGAGCTCTTAGCTGAACCCCTTTCTGTACATGCTCTGGTCTAGCCCGCCTTGAAAGGCAGGACTGGGTCATGATAGCGGGGGTTGAGGAAGCTTCAAGGAACCAGAGGAATATTGAGTGTCTCATCAGCATTATACTGCACCCTGGTTGGCTCATCCCTTCCTTGTGACCTTTCTGTGAAGGGATGTCCCATTTTCTACAGGTGGATTATGGGTCTCTGCTCCAACCCCCTCATTCTCAACAATATGGTTTTTTTGGTTTGTTTTGGGTCTTCTGAAGCCTGTTACCTGATCCTATTGACACCTAACTATCGAACAGGCTGGTATGCTTCTTCCATGTGGGCTTGTTGCTTCTTGACTAGATGCCCACTTGTTTAACTTCAAGCCTTTAAGACCCCAGATGCTATATCTTTTGATAGCCAGGCACCATCAGCTTTCTTCACCACATTTGCTAGTGCACAGATTTTCTCTTCAGCTATCAGACAGGGAAAGTGAGCATCATAGAATTCCCAGTTGTTAGAACAAAGTGTTCTTGCGCTGAGGCAAAGCTTGAGCAGAGGCTCAAAGTCCCTCCACTACCTCAATGTATTGCCATATAAATATATGTACATATGCCAATACCTCTATTTTTATGAATTAATGTATGACATATGTACACACCTATGTTTATACCTCTATCCACAGCTTTGCTTCCTACAGCTTTCCTGTTTTCATTTACCTCCCTCCTACCCCACCATCACACTCGCCCTTCTTCTGCCTCTTAAGGAATTCCTCTCAGCTAGATTGCTGTTGCTCCAACACCCCCAGGATCTCTACATCCTCCTCATTGATTTTTTAAAAATCATTTTATTGGGAGCTCTTACAGCTCTTACCACAATCCATACATACATCCATTGTGTCAAGCATATATGTACAGATGTTGCCATCATCTTTTTCAAAATATTTTCTTTATACTTGAGCCCTTGGTATCAGCTCATCCCCCCTCCCCTCCCTTCCTCACGAACCCTTGATAATTTATCTTTTTTTTAATGTCTTACACCCTTGCTGTCTCCCACCCTCACCCAGATAGCAGGCAGTGACACCCTTGCTGCGCAGCCCCTGTTTCCCTCCTGAGGTTGGAAGCTTGCCCTCAAAGGATCAGGCACTGGGTGAACCGTCCTCGTATCTGGAGAAGTGTGTCCTCCGGCTCACCAACCAGCAGATCGCACAGTGCCAGAGGAGCAGCTTACTCCAGTCACCAATGGGTGGACAGGGACTCCTTGGGATAAGTACCTGACAACTTCTAGGCTGGAAAGAGCTTCCTCCAGGAAATGGCATCTGGTAATTGTCTCCTCATTGTGATCTTTTTGACTGGCAGAGGTCACCACACTATGCCACCAAGGCTCCCAACCAGTCTTATAAGAAATACTCAAGGGAGTGTTCTAGACAGAGAACGAGCAATGACAGACAACAACCAGAGATCAACACACATGACAACACCATCCCGAAGTCAACCTAGATATATAAGAACCCAAGTAACACAAGTCTACAAGACTGGAAATAGAGATACAAATTTGTAAACAAAGAAATTAAATAGTAAAAAGAGGAAACAAATAGTGTGGTTATAGAATTTCAAAATGTAGATAAAGTCAAGTCAATTTCAAAATAGGATAGACTGCTTTAAACTGAGGAAGAAATTAACAAATTACAGAATGTCCTCAAATAAAATGAATAAACCTCATTAAAATAAAAAGGAGGAAAAATCATAAATATTTAGTAAACATTAAAACAATAGCGATGAAAAAATGACAAGAAAACCCACAAGTAAAATGAGTTCAGCCCAGAAAATTAAGTGGAACAAAGAAACAAGCAGCAACACACACACACACACACAACCCACAGCAAAAACGTCAGCAATAAATTCATACTTAATGATAATTGTACTGAATGTAAATGAATTAAAAGCACCAGAGATAGAGAGTAGCAGAATAAATATAGAAACAAAATTTATTAATATATTGTCTACAAGATACACCTTGTATTAGTCTGGGTTGACTAGAGAAACAAATTCAGGGACACTCATATATGTGTAAGAGAGAGTTTTTTATCAAAGAGCAATTGTATATTGAGAAAACATCCCGGCCCAGTCCAGAGCAAGTCCATAAGTCCGATACTAGTCCATGAATTCCTATTCAAACTCACAAAGTCACATGCAATGATGCAAAATGCAGGAATATAACAGGCCGGTGGGTGCAAAGTCATGTAGATCCAATGCCAGGGGAAGCATCTCA